AAAAAAAAAAAAAGCGGCCGTGCCGCCCTAGGATTGGGCCCTGGCCACAATAAGATTTTCATATTTCCCCAAATTTAGAGGAGATTTTATATTTTTTGCTGAAACATTTGTATAAAACACTTCTTAAGGCTTGAATGATCTCTTGCTTTAATTACTGTAACCTTCTCATTTCCTGACTCCTCGTTTTTTATTCCAGTATCAAAACACTGTCTTTAAAGTTATCTTTCTCTCCCCAGTGCTCCAACCATATCTCCTTCCCTCTCATTACAAAGACTTTTACTCAGAATTTGTGACATGAATGGTTAGTTTTCACCATACGGAATTTTGCAAGTAGTAATAGTACAAAACTGATCTGAACAATGCAGGTGCTGTTTTATTTCTGGCCTGAGCACAAACAGGACTGCAAAAGATCCTCTTTTCATAATATTTACTTCTAGCTATATTAGGTTTAGAAATTTTTCAGATAAGCATTTAACCAGACTTTGGAATCCTTAAAGGGCTCAGGAAAGTGAAAATTAACAAGTGAAGCTTCTTGCTTTTTATTGCAAAACATTAGTCCATTCTTCCATAGCTTACTGATAAAAAATAAAATTCCCTGGGTTGTGCAATTTTTTTAAAATATATTTTTATATATTTTCAACATATTTAGTTTTTTACTATTTCTGTTTTCTCAGCATGCTAAAAATAGGCCTTTCTGTTCCTATGGATTCTATCTTTCTTCTCAAACTCACACCTGCATGGAGCTCTACTGAAGTCAGTCGGGCTCCATGCAGGCACAGGATCAGGGAAATAAAAGGGATGTGGTACACCGCTACCTCAATATAACACGACCCGATATAACACAAATTCGGATATAACATGGTAAAGCAGCGCTCCAGGGGGTCGGGGCTGGGCACTCCGGTGGATCAAAGCAAGTTCAATATAACGCAGTTTCACCTATAATGCGGTAAGATTTTTTGGCTCCCGAGGACAGCGTTATATTGAGGTAGAGGTGTATATTTCCACCTGACTGGGGTTGGGTGTTGAAAAGGAAATAACCAGTGGGAAGGAAATTAAAGAAATTAAAAGAAATTGGTTCACTCAGCCTGACTTTAAGGATTGAGCAGAAACCATACTTGTCTGTTCTTTTCAGATTCCTACATTGCGCTCATCTACATAGTATTGCAATGCCTTCTAGGAAATGAGGGACGGGGAAGCCTATAATCTACAAAAAGCTATGGTATATTTTATACTGTTATATTTTTATACTTGATTGTAAATGTAAGCTCTCTCTTTTTTTGGCAGGTCTTGTGGTTGATCAATTCAGTCAGCGTTTGTTCTGGGCTGACTTTGAATTATCTGTTATTGGCAGTGTTCTTTTTGATGGCTCTGATTCAGTAGTATCTGTGAGCAGTAAAGAAGGTATGCAGCGTTTTTCTATAACACATACTTTGAAAGAACTGTTAATTCAAAAGAAATTATCTCAATTTCCGTATTATTGGTTGTATTTCCAACCAATAATACTGTGCTACCAATACAGTGAATATTAGTTCTGTTGCCATTAGAGATTATTGTAGTGCAGTGAATTTGTAAGGCTCCAATCCCAGCATTGACTAAGTGCAGGGACACATTGTTTGACTTTATGGGAGCTCCATATGGCCACAGGTGTGGGTCTGCATCCAGACTACTGCAGCCTACATGTGTAATTCACAGTATGCTGAATAAGTCAAGCTAGAGCTTTCAGCTGTTTGTATTCTATTGCATAGAAATCTTATGAAGAGTAAGGTCATTGAAATCTTATGAATTGTAGGCCATTTAGCCTGACATCAGTCCCAGGCAAAATAATGGAAAAGCTGATGTGGAAATCAGACAATAAAAAATTAAAGCATGGGAATATAATTAATGTTAAGCAACAGAAAATAGGCCTTGTCAAACAAATTTTATTTCATTTTTATGAGATTACAATTGTTAATAAATGTAACTGCATATATGTAATATATCTTTACATTCTGATAAAAAAACTATCATTACACAACATCAATAAAGCACGTGTTCAGTGGATTAAGAACTGATTGACAGAGCTCAAAAAGTAGTTGTCAGTGGTGAATCATCATTGAATCAGTGTGTTTCTAGTGGGGTTCCACAAGGATCATCGATTCTAGGTCCCACACTATTTAACATTTATATCAATGATATGGAAGTGAATGAAGTTTGCAGATGATACAAAGATTGGCAGAGTGGTAAATAATGATATGGAAGTCATACCAAGTGAGCCAGATGCTTCTGTATGATGGGCCCATTCAAACAAAATATGTTTTAATATAACCAACTGTAAGATCAAGGTCTAGGAGCAAAGAATGCTGACCATGCCTCCAGAATGGGGTCTCTGTCCTGGAAGGCAGTGATTCTGAAAATAATTTAAGGGTCATAGTGGAAAGATAACTCAATGTGAGCTCCCAATGTAATGTTGTGGCACAAAGGGCTAATCCGTGGCTGCATCAACAGGGGAGTAGTGAGTTCGAATAGGGACATGATTTTTCTTCTGTATACAGCTTTGGTGAGACCAGCACTGGATGGCTATAGCCAGTTCTAGTGTCCACATTTGAAAAAGAATGTTGAAAAATTACAGAGGGTGCAGAAAGTTACCTAAAAAGTTATTCGGGGGCTGGGAAAAAAAGGCCTTACGCTGAGAGACTTAAGAAGCTCAGTCTGTTTAACTTATCAAAAAGAAGATCAAGTTGTGACTTGATTAGGGAGTATAAGTAATTTCACGAGGACAAAATGCCAAGTACTAAAGACAATGCTTAATTTGTGCCAGGGCTTGCCAAGGCTAAACCCGGGCACCTCTAGCCTTGGCAGCTTATAGCTCCAGCACCTCTGCCGCTTATTGCATCAGTTATGATTGTTAAAAAATTGCTTGATCCCTGGCACCTCTTTCATTACAAATTAAGCACTAACTAAAAAAGGCTCTTCAGTGGAGAAAGGCATAGCAGGAACCAATGGCTGGAAGCCAAACAAATTCAAATTAAAACAAAGTCACAAATTTTTAACAATGAGTATGTTTAACCATTGGAACCAACTACCAGGGGAAATGGTGGATTCTGTATGGTGATGAGTCACTCCTGTGCTAGGCTCCAGCCAATCCACAAGCCAGGAATTGGTCATGTGACGCCCAAACCAGGTATATAAATCCCATAAATCCCAAGCTAAATCTGCTTAACGTAATTCCAGGACTTGGAATTCTCTCCTGCCTGACAATAGTAACAGATTTCCCAGGCCTTAGTCTGCTCCAGCCTTGCCCTAGGCCTGTTCCTAATCCTGTCCTGCTCTCACCACCGCCCTGCTCTTCGTCTTGCTCCACCCTTGCTCCAACCCCACCCAAACTCCTAATTCCAGCTCCGACCACTAGGCCTGACCATCTCCATCCAAGTTTCTGACAGACTCTGTATCTCTTGAGGTCTTCAAAACAGGACAGGATGCCTTTCTAGAAAATATTCTTTATTCAAACACACATTACTGGGCACATTACAGGGACAACTGGGTGAAATTCTATGGCCTGTATTATATAGGAGGTCAGGCTACATCATCTAATGGTGCTTTCTAGCCTTGAAATGTATGAATCTGTAGTTAAACTTGGAGATTTTGGCATCCTCAAGTTGTATCAATTTACTGCAGCTACAGATTAAATTAAAGATAGTATAAATAAATAAAAAGGAATATATCTGACAAGAAAATGTTAAAACAATAGAAAAGACTACTGGAGAAATTCTTTATCAGATTAGTTTTACCCTTGCACAGCCACCATCAAGCATACACATTTTTAATTTCACCTATTTCTGTAAGGTACCATTAGAAGTATTTCAGATATGTATGATTGCATTATCCAAAACTGTAGATCTTCTGAGAATTTTCATGACTAGACTGGTCTAACTCACATTTGGGGTGGGGGAAACGTTTTTTACCAAACTACAAAATATAGTTTCCATATAATATGACTTAGCAAGTTTCTTCCTATTTAAAAGTTAAGTGGTTCTTGTCCATGTTACCAGGACTGTTTGTATGTTAGGCTTGGCCTTCACTTAAAACTTATACCAGCATAGCTATTTGGGTCAGGGGAATGAAAATACCTCCCACCATCCACCCCAGAGCTATACCAACAAAACCCCCAGTGTAGATGCAGCTATGCAAACAGAAGAGTGCTTTTGTCAGCATAGTTTACACTGGTACATCTGTCAGCATAAGCTGTGCCAGCATAAGCTCTGTAGTTTAGACATAGCCTTAGTAATAGAACCTTTTAGATTTCAACTAGAATGATTTAACCTGTTAATACTAAAATGAAGAATATCAGTATTTTAATATGACTTTTTTCCTCCTTTCTTTCTTTAAGGGTTGCTGCATCCACATAGAATTGACATTTTTGAAGATTACATCTATGGAGCAGGACCTAAAACTGGTGCATTTAGAGTACAAAAATTTGGCTCTGGTTCTGTAGAATATCTGAATTTGGATGTTGATAAAACAAAAAGTGCCTTGATTTTTCATCGCTACAAACAAATAGATTGTGAGTAAACTTATTAGTTTAAAATAGATATTTAGAAAAAATAAGTTAATTCAAAACTTGTAAATGTATAGTACTGAAGCTGAACATACAAAAGAACAGATTTGTTCATATTCCCATTTGTAAAGCGTAACTGGGATATTTTCATGTAACAACAAAAATTGTATATTATTCAATTCATAAAACCACTGCACTCAGCTTGTCTAAAGATGCAGCATAAAAAATCAACAGAACACTGGCCAAAAAATATTTCCAGTCACAATCAATTGGCTTTCTCATAATACTGATGATTCTGGTGATGAAAATGTAATTAAAAAAATTATATAATGTAATTAAAGTTATTTTAACTTCTTTATTACCAAAATTATGAATTCCCACTGTAACATGCCAAAAATATTTTACATTTATATGTGCCTTTCTTCCCTGAAAACTTTGCAAAAGAGATCATTCTGGAAAACACTTTAGTTACCGCTGCAGAGGAAAGCAACAATTTGCATTAAGCACTGAAAAAGGTTACCTAGGGAGGTTGTGGAGTCTCTGCCATTGGAGGTTTTTAAGGACAGGTTAGACAAACATCTGTTAGGGTGGTCTAGGTATACTTAATCATGCTACAGCATAGGTGGATGGACTAGGTCACCTTTGAGGACTCTTTCAGCCCTAAATTTCTATGATTGTATAACTTAACATTGCAACTTTTCAGAAAGCAAAAAGAATACTGTATCAAAATGAAATTGCACAAGAAAATTTTAGGTAGGCTGAAAATAATTTCCCAAATTGGTACAGATGACGGGCTTAAACCATATCAGCAAATCCAAGCCCCTAAGTCAGTAAATTTCAGGGAACATCAACTCCAGAGCCTAAACTCCGTAACTTTAGTCTATCTCTAATTTCCAATAGCGGAATTAAAATCAACCTGCAACCCAAGCTCTGGGAAAGTTGAGTTTTGATTTCTGGTGCAAATTTTGAGACAAGGGTCCATTTCTACTGTTTTTGTTTTTCAGCTGTTTCTATAAGCTCAAGCCTATCATCACCAAAACTCGTTTAAACATTCAATCTTTACTGCTAGTACCTGTTTCCATTTTGAACACTTTTCATCCTAAAGGATATTCATGTACATACTATATACAGTTCCTTACCCATCGCTGACATAAAAACCTGGCAGCTTTTTAACAATGCCCCAAATAGAAACACTCTAGCTCAATATAGGATAATAAATGAATAATATGGTAGTCAACTCAAACTTCAAGAGAAAATGGATTTTCACCAGAATACTTATATGAACATCCTGCTCTTACAAAAACAGAGCTGGATGTTGAGATCTGCAACTCTTGGCACTTTAGTACTTCAGGGAGTGAAGGAGGATTACTCACCTGCACTGATGGTGCTAGAACCACCACGAAAATCTTCCTAAACAGCTTCCTGCAACTAAGTTACTCCTCCCTTGAGCTGCCTGTGCAGCCTTAAGCTACAAGGGGAAGAGGTTCAATAAGGACTCACTTCCATGTAGACAGCTTGCATATGGTGCCCACTCTCATAACAGAGCACACCAGGAGCAGTCTGGAGTTAGCCTGAGGTAGTATCCCAAATATTCTAAATCAGCATATGTTCTTCCCTCTCCTCCATCCTCTGCCCCTCCCGCCCCACCCAAGCAACAGCAGTAGCCAAGGGGGTGGACTAAAAGAGACTGGAGTCATGAAGGATTGGGAGTACTGAGGAATTGGGTAGGGAAAGATATGTGGTGGTATTGGGAGGAAAAATAAAAGGGGATCTCAACATACAAACTTGCTTAGAACTGCCTAGAGCCACCCTTTTTGTTTAAGTTTATGTAGGGGAAAACCACAAAAAATTATTGCACTGGCCTCCCAGGTTCCTAAGACTCACCCTGGCAAAAGGTTCCATAAAGATTGTTAATGATCAGAAGCAGTGAGGGCACCAGTTTTGCATTTCATTCTAAAGCCAGCACTCCCAAGCACATGTCACATAAAAACATGCTGGGATATTGGTTCAATATTAATTCAGTGGGACAATGTACTGAATTTCCAACACTACTTCCTACAGCAGCTACATTTCAATGGGGATTTCACAGAGTGTAAATTAGAGTCTAATTTTGCATACATGGTTCTTCATTAGTTCTGTTCCCGGAAACAATGTAACTGCAAAATTTTAACATGTTTTTTTTTTTTTTTTTTTTTTTTTTTACCCACCCTTAAACAGCACCTAATCCTTGCTTGGACTTGACATGCGAGTTTCTCTGTTTACTCAACCCTTCTGGTGCAGCTTGTGCATGTCCAGAAGGGAAATCTTTGATCAATGGAACATGCAGTGATCTGAGCCTTTCAGGTGGGTATTAGACATTGGTTAACAGATTGAACACAAGAAATAAGAATAATGATCAGTGTTTATGTCCTGGCAAAAGGCTAATAGACAAGTGTTCCAAAACACTGTGATGTTGTACAGTATATTTACTAATGAACTGGAATAGAAAGTGAATAGTGGAGTAGCAAAATTTGGAGATGACATAAAACTATTTACGTTGCTCAAACAAAAGATTTACCAAGCCTCTATGAGTGAACAGTAAGATGGGAGATTATATTCATTGTTGACAAATGAAAGGTAATATACATTATAAAGAATAATTTGAACTATTCAAAAGCATTCTTGGTTCTCAGTTAACTGTTAATCACTCACAAAAAAGGCCTAAAAGACCATTAGTGTGGCTAGCTCAAAGAACACCTCTGCTCAGAATCCAGCAGTGGTAAAAAAGCAATAGCCTATATAAAGAAAGACATAGCAAATAAAACTGAAAACACTATTAGAGAATCATAGATGTGTAGGACTGGATGGGACCATGAGACGTCAACAAGTCCAGCCCTCTGCTCTGAGGCAGGACCAAGTAAACCTAGACCATCCCCGGCAAGTGTTTATCTAACCAGTTCTTTAAAACCTCCAGTGATGGGGATTCCACAACCTCCCTTGGAAGCCTGTTCCAGATCTTGACTAGCCTTATAGTTAGAAAGTTTGTTCCTAATAGCTAACCTAAATCTCCCACGTGGCAGATTAAGCCAAATACTTCCTGCCATATCTCCAGTGGGCATGAAGAACAATTGATCATTGTCCTCTTTGTAACAGAACGTAACATATTAGAATACTGTTATCAAGCTCCCCCCCTCAGTGTTCTTTTCTGAAGACTAAGCATGCCCAGTTTTTTAAAAACTTTTCCTCAGAGGTCAGGTTTTCTAAAGCTTTCTTATTTTTGTTGTTCTTCTCTGGACTTTCTCCAGTTTGTCCACATCTTTTCTAAAGCATGATGCCCAGAATTGGATGTGTGACCTGAGACCTCACCAATGCTGAGTACAGTGGGATAATTACCTCCCCTCTCTTACATATGACATTTCTGCTAGTATACCTGAGAATATCAGCCTTTTTCACAACTGCATCACACTGATAACTCATATTCAATTTGTGGTCCACTATAATCCCCAGATCCTTTTCAGCGGTGCTAACACCTAGACAGTTATTCCCCACTTTGTAGTTGTGCATTTGATTTTTCCTTCCAAAATGAAGTACTTTGCACTTATCTTTATTGAATTTCCTCTTGTGGATTTCTGATCAAGTCTCCAAGTTGTCAAGGCTGTTTTGAATTCTAATCCTCTCCTCCAATGTTTTTGCAGTCTCTCTCAATTTGGTGTCATCTGCAAATATTATAAACGTACTCTCCATTCCAGTATTCTAGTCGTTTAGAAAAATATTGAATATTACCTGATCCAGGACTGGCCCCTATGGGGTCCCACAAGCTGTGTCCTCCCAGTCTGAGAGTGATCCACTGATAACTAATCTTTGAATACAGTGTTTCAGCCAGTTGTGCACCCACCTAATAGTAATTTCATCTAGACCACAAAAAAGTGGATTTGCTTATATGGTAATTCCTGTGTTCCTGTTAGATTCTAGGAAAAGAAAGTATGTCACTTGTAAAATTACTATTTATCCATTGAATATGAATTATTTATAAAACATTATCTACTCATGAATGCAGAGAAAAAGTAGCCAAGTGTATTTATAATCTCCCCTCCCTAGCCAGAATTCCCTCTTTAAAAATTTAGAATACAAATTGTATTCTTCTGAAGAATTACATTGTTTGAGTAATACTGTTTTGATAACTGTTTGACAGACAAGATTAACAGTACTCTCGCTGTACAGAAGAGAGTGCTAAAATATTAAAATAAAAGTTATTCTCATGGTATTTTAGATCCAACCTGAAGAAGCAAGTATCAAAAATGGCACGAGAAACTTGTTTTCCTGAGAATTCAGCCCTGTGTTAGCACAAGCAAGGAATTCAGAAGATTGATAGCATTCAAACTTTTGAGTCCTTAACAAAATGATCAGAATCTTGAAAGCTTTTGAGATTCAGCAATCACAGATTAGGATTTCCTTTGAATGTGAGAAATCAAAATGTGCGAGTAGCAGAATTTTTAATATTTATAATTCTAGTTCTGTTAATATAAAGGATCTAGAATTTGGGGGAGCTCACCAGTTACCAAATCACCCAAATAGAAATTTTGATATTAAGTCACACAATTCCAAATTTATTCTACCAAGTATTGAAAAGCCAAACTAATATAGCGATTTAGAAGTGTTTATAAAGTGAAATCAGTAAAACTATCAGTGTTTTAGTTCCTGTTCAAGAAAACTACATGTACTAACAGTAAGGGTAAAACAACAGCACATAGGCTACAGTATATATCTAACTAATTCATCTCTTTGTTTAGATACAGTACAAGGCATATAAAATAGATCATAGCCATGCAGATACATGAGTATTATCTCTTACATTTACTACATTATGCTATATGGTTGGTGTAAAAAATATGTGCTTAAATACTGTTGTCCTTGGGCTAAGCTGTGGTCGATGTTGTGGCCTTGCAACAGGTCATTTTGTCTTCTTGGATGGGAACTGATGTCATAGCCAAATACATTGTAAAATGTTTGTTTATACTCTGTACGCATTCTTACCTACACTATATACATGAGTCTTGTTACCGTTAAACCAAAATGGACCAAACCACACATAGACAACTCTGGAAACCCCAAGGAGTCACCCTGAATAACCACTAAGAACTGCTATCTTCATTGCTCCTCCAGGCATCATACTGTTTGCCCAGTTGACACAATATGTTCCACTTCTGGCTACCTCTCATTCTTAAGTCAAGAGCCAGAAAAGCAGCAACAGAATCACGCTGGGCAGATCCAATAGTGCTCAGCTGATTCATTACAATATTTCTAAAAGATAAACATAGAAAGACTTAACATTATATTTAATATTGAAATTTAAGTATTGACAAATTACATTAAAGGAATTTTATTCTTCCTTTGGTGTCTGGGAGTAACCTGCATCTGTAATTTCAGTAATTAACCCAACTTTACTGAACAACTGAGAGAATATACTGAACAACTGAGCTGCTAGGAAAGATATTGTCATAGGACACAGATTTGAAGTCTATTATAGTTGCGTTTCCACAAATCTATTTGGGCTGTCCACAGCATAATGGTTTTAGATAGATATGGAGAAGTGCCCTGTTCACTGAATTTTCACTAACTGGAGACTTTTGAGGGATCAGTTGCTTCAAATAGCTGCCCACACTTGCACTATCTATAATTTCTTTATAAATTGCTGAGTAACTGTTTCTTTGTACTCTGATTTCACTTTAGGTTCTCTAGTTTTGGATATTTTTTTGAGTGTTTTCATTTGCCCATTTAAGGTGGCAGCTTAAATTGCATCTGAAATACACAGAACTTAACTAAGGATTCCAGCATGTATATCTATGATCTATTTTGATATGGCTAAAATACTCTGAAGTAGATTTTAAAATCTGTTTTTTCATGGCTGAAAAGGTCTTCATCTGGCACTTCTAGTTAGGCTGCTTGGGACTCTGGGCCTTTGTTGTCCTAATCCTGAGAGATGTCCTGACCAGACAAGGCCAGAGAGAAGGACCTAGATGATATTGCCTCTGCTGGCTCCAGATGAATCCCTAATACCCCCTGAGGTGAAATGGGATTGAAGTTTTAACAGCAAGAGCAACAATACCAGCTCCAGGCCATCTCAATAAAATTCTTTACCCCCCCAAAAAAAGAACGGTTATGACTATCTTTGATACCACTTAAGAGACTGTCAAACAAGGTTGTTGTTGTTTTTTTCTTTCCAAAACTGTCTCCAGCTAAAAGGAATAACAGTCATTATCTTTCTCTGGTCCAATAAATATTTAGTATTTATTCACAGAGGATCAGTCATTGGGCCAGAGAGAGCATGTGAAAATGATTCTGTAGCCCAGCCTGGGAGGTGGGAGACTCCAGTCCCCCTGCTCCAATCACTATTTCTCTAAAGTGAACACCTTCAACAGGAGATCCTGAGGGACCCCTACATGAGACTATCCATAGGTCATTGGTTAGAACATTCCCCTGAAAGGTAGGCCATCGGTGTTCAAATACCTTCTTCCTATGAGGTAGAGAGAGGAATTGAATATGGGTCTCCCACATCCCAGACCACTGGGCTAAAAGTTATAATGTGGGAGGCAGCACCAGCAGCACAAGCAGAGTTTGAATGGGATCTGATCCAGTAGGTGGCTTCTGCACATACCAGATAGGGCCCACACTTGACTTACGTGGCCGAATACCTATCTTCTCCTGGTTCATAAATTGCTCTGGGACTTAGGTGGGAAATAGGTATCCAGACACCTGGGAGTAAGGTAGCAGTGTGCATGCTCAGAGATGGAAACGTAGGTGCTGAGGGAACTCTTACCCTGAACACGTGGGCGGCGATCGACTGTAGACCCCTAGAAAGTTCAACAGGATTTCTGTGGATTGCAGTGGAGCCTAAAACTGGGACTTAGGCACCTATATCTGAGACTTAGACTTAGGTGCCTGAGTACTTTGGTGGATCAGGGACCATTAATTTATACAACTGAATAGTTAACCACATGACTGGATTACTTATTATTACCTCTTTGGTGGTGTTCTTAATATATACACTATTAGAAGCTAGGTATACTAACTACATTAAATTGGTATGGTAATTATTTTCAGTGATGTAGTGAACTTTCCAGTTATCTGAATTCATTGTAATTACATGTATCAAAAAGCATAACCACACTGTGATTGCACTGTGATGTTTAACTATAGCATAATTCCAATGACACTACTATCCAGTGTGACTGTTGGTTTATTGTACAGCACATAGATTATTATCAGGTGTAATATTAACATGTAGGAAAGGAGCTAATGAAGTTTCAGTAATTTAATGGACTACCAAAAACACAAGTTCACCATAGTAAAAATGGGCTGGTTAT